TTTTTGGTTAATAAAAATATTTCAAGTCCCAAATTTAAACCTTTATTTATTGGGATTATCAAAGATTCTGTTATCAACAATATATGGACAATATACACTAGAAATCACCTTTTTCAAATAATTTTCTTGTAGTGGTCGCCTTTTGTTTAAAATATTGAGTCGTGTGACTTATTAAATGTTCTCCGAGTTCATTTTTGCAGCTTTATTTAGTAAATAATTCTATTTGTAAAATTTCGCATTTTTATTTTTAACTTCTTTACATTTTCAACTCGATTTCGAATATAATATATTTAAAGAAGATTTTGCGTTTTACTTATCACACGAATGCTAGAGAAAATTGCTTTTTATTTAATTTTTATTTTAAGCACTGTCACTTCTTATTCGTTAATTGCGTGTTGAATATTCCCAAAACGAGAGCAGCTATTACCAACTGCCTACGCGTCTGTCACGTAAATGTAATACCGAACTAGTTGACAGGGAATTTTCTAGCAGAACTTTAAAATTCATTAAAGCACCGAATCAATCAAACACCAACACCGGGCACTTTCTCACGTGTGTATGTATTTGTTTCTACACACACGCGGTCATTCATAAAATGGACGACGTGTCCTTAACGGTTTTGTGGTGAAAGGGAAAAGAAGAGTGAAAAATCTCTTCTCACGCTCATAATAAATGCACAAATCTGCTTAACGCACATAGCATCAAGAGTGTGTGTGTGTGTGCATAAGCGAATGTGCGACCCTTTAAGCCGCCGCTCCCGCACCCACATCCATACATACATGCACGTGTCTAAGCAATCAAGCTAGCCATACTGCAGCTGTTGGCTTGTGACTGAAATGCACGAGGTTTCGGTGGTCTCGTGCATTAGTATGAGTTAAGTAGCCTAATGTGGCGCTGTTGAAGACGCAAGTCCGTCGGAACATCAATTAAAGCCGGCTGAGCGTAACATATCACTTTAGCTCACAACCAAATATGCTAATACGCACACACACGCGCCAAATGGGGTCGCACATGCCATGACACTGTTTACTCCTAGTTTGGAGGTCGACTTATAAATTAATGATTTTTTAAAATTCTTCTCAAGTCCTTTTTTCTCTTTATTTTAGCTGAGTATGGCAGTAATACCGTTTTTTACTCCAGTCAAATCATCAAATGAACAAATCTTTAGTCAATCGAGTGTATTTCAGTTAAGTTTTTGAGCGGTCGATCTGAAATTTTACATACATATCTTCCTCAACACAAATCAAGACAGTTCCAGGATAAACTCGTGATATCTTCTTAATGGGGATAAGATAAGGACATTTTGTTGAACTTTGTTAGCTACCCGCGTATTTATTCATAGGCATTCGGCATAAGTATACAACACATACTTCTATATGCATATATAGCTATGTCGCAAGCGGTTGGCACACATTGACCCGCTGATATTGATATTGAATATTGAAAAGGTCATTAAAAATTCCATAAAATATCGACTTTCTCATCGGCCATTATATATACATACACAAATACTTACCAACCGACTCATGTGGCGAGTGTCTTCGTTTGTGCCAGAAGGCATGCGTGCTAGTCCCAAAATTCCCACAATTATCGGCCACATAGTACATACTTATAGTGAAGAGGCTCAGTTAACATTGATATTGGGTGTCACAACGATGGCGACGTTCATTGGGCCCGACACAACACATACATACATACTATTAATTTTCATTAATAGACTATTCAAAAGATGTTGTCTGTGAATGATTTAAAGTGAAGGAGAAGGGAAGGGACTTCAAATGGCGGTCAAGCGAAGACAAATCTAAAATGCAAATTATAATATTACTTTTAAGTAGCAAAATGTGACTGTCCAAACACTTGGCTGAAATGTCGAACGCCTTTCCGTCTAAATGGTGAGCGTCGAAGAACTCACACTCAACAGTAGGCTACATGTATAACTAAAAATATTAAAACAAATACATACATAAACAAGTAAGGAAGAGCTAATTTGCGGTATAACCGAAAGTTTCAGGACCTTGCAACTTGGAAAAACTAGGGTTACAGGCATGTAGATGTATATTTATTTTATCCATTTATAACTCTACATTGGCCAATATATTGAAGGCACCCGGAAATTGGAAAATTTGTATATTACATATATTGGGACTGACACACAGAAATAATATTGTCAGGAAAGATTTATCCCCGAATATCAATTATAAGTACACTACTATGAGCAAAAATAATAATAAGACTTTATTCATAATTTTAAAATTCTTGATTTATTCTTCAAACACTAGGTCGTCCCACTCAAAGTAATCCCCCTACACACTTGTGCCAACAGAAAACTGTGAACATAGCTTTGATTTTTGCGTTTTTTTTCTCGGCTTCGACCCATTCTTGCCACGATATTCGGCTGATGGATCGCCCGTTCCGGGCAAGACTTATCGCCAGCAATAACACGTTTTACTTTATCTTGTTAGTAGGAAAGCATTGGCTCACAGACGTTAATGCAACGTAATTTTCGTGATTTTGTAACCAATAGGGCTTTCACTTTTCTTATTCAAATAATATTTCAAAATGGTTTTCATTAATTCTTCCAATATTCCAACGATGCCAGTAAGATCTTTAATTAATAATCGTCGTTTCTTAAGAACCAATTCCTTTATTCTATTGTCCTTTTGATTATCAGATGATGTTGATGGCCGCCCTGGAGGCTGTTCGTAACCAACGCGTCTCGATCCTCTTTGAATAATTTGTTCCAATCTAAAACACTAGCTCTCGACAAATAATTAGTCTCTTCCAACATTCTGAATGTTTCGGCACCACAACCTTTAACCCGCACACAAAATTTAATGGAATTTCTTTGTTGAATAATTTTACTCATCCTTTTATTGTTGAAGGCACTTTAGTACTTCAGAAAGACGAAATAATGAATATTTTGATGTGAGATTTGGCACAGTCACTCAAATCAACCTAGAAATAAACGACGAGTTGAAGAAAAACCCTGATATTTGTCGCAATTCTAGAGAACGAATTTACGTATACAGGTATGATTGAGAGCTCTTAACAATCAAACTCTTAAGCCTGAGAAACAATGGGTAGATCGATTCAGCTCGTCACGCTGATCTTTTATATATATACTCTATAGGGTTAAAAATTACTTATAGGTCCACCGAAACTTAGGAAAAGAACTCATACAGCCTTCTTAGTTAAAATCTCTCTCTCTCTCTCGCTCTCTCTCTCTCTCTCAATTGCAAAACTTCTTCAGACTACTTTCTGAACCAAATCATTTGAAACTCATCCATTTCATGAGCATGAATCGGTTGTAAACAGAGTTTGAGGAAGTTTATGTGCCTGAAGTAAATAACTCTGTTACGAACGATATGGCGGGCGAATACACGTTAATCTTATTTACTCACCGCCGAACTGACGTGGCGCATTCTGATTGGTCGATCAAGCGAAACGAAAGCAATTAGCAAAACTGGTAGCAATCAGCAAACAGAGCGGAGTGGTTGAAGGAAGGTGCTTTCCAAAGTAAACAAGGACTTTTTGAATCTGGCGCCCCCTTGTGTCGCCATCTATATGTCGGTGCGTTGGAATCTGCTATCTTTATTGATTGTCCAGTGAGAATTTATCACATTTCATTGATTGGAAGTGAAGTTATTGCGTTTTAAGTGTCAGTATGTTTGTGTTATTGGTGCGAAAATGAGCTTCGAACAAAGAGCCAACATTGGACTTTGTTTTAAAATTGATAAAACTTTGACCGAAACATTTCAATTGATGAAACAAGTTTATGGCGATGATTGCCTATTGCCGTAGCAGAATGCACGAGTGGTTTCAACGTTTTCAAAGTGGTTGTGAGGATATTAATGACGATCAACATGTGGACCAAACAAAATCCATGATCACCGGATATTTCATCGAAACGGTGTGTGCATTCATCAAAAATCGGCCGAAATCATCATTGAAATTCATGGAAATGGAATTAAACATCTCCAAAACATCGATTTATCGCATTTTGGGCGAACATTTGGGCTTAAGAAAGGTGTGTGCGCGGTTTTGTAAAAGTTGGCGTTTGTTGCACGATAATGCGCCGCCCCATCGATAGACACTTGTAACCGATTATTTGACCAAAACTCACATTTTAGCCAATAACCACTCCTCGTATTCACCTGATATAGGACCGTGCCACTTCAACTTTTCGAAAAAATTCTTCTGAGAAATTTTTGAACTTTTTCTAACAACAGCACTCTTTTCAACAGCTGTTTATGTATGTTTTTGTTTTTTAAGAAGGGTAATCGTTAATTTTTCGCATGCTAAAAGCTGAGCTGACCTTTCTTTTCGGTGCCAAAAATATCAAGATATGTCCAATTCTTTACAGTTGGAATAGTCTGATCGGAGAGTATCCAGTGGGCAATATTCTACGCTAGGATTCGTAACGTAGCAGTTTTGACCTTTTAAAGGCAATTCTAAAGCCTATTAACTTATCCATATCGTGTTCTCGCTTCTTTTTCCAGATTCATCACAGATTTGATAAGCCAAGTCCTAAAGAAAAAGAAGAGTTTAGAGAGAGAGCAGTATGACAATAAAATTTAAGCAAATTGCCTCATATTAACTATCGATATTCCTACAAAAAGTCTTCACGAAATTCGTTATGGAATAATGTTCAAGACAGCGGTACAAGCGTACGTATAGTACATAATACTGTGTTTCTACTGTTTTCCATAATTTTTTGCTAATAGCTTATTTTATATACTGCCACTGTAACTGTTGTTTCATCGAACCGCATCGAATTCGTAGACGCTTAGGCGCTCATGAAATATTCTTTAAGAAAAAGTTCGTGGCAGAATTCAATCAAATTTTTCTCATAAACTTACACATTTCGACCAAACGTTCTTATCAGAGCCCAAGCAATAAGAGAAATAAATTGCCAGTGCTAAAAAAACCAAAATAAGCAAATGAATATTCTGTCTTATGGTTGTTTTTAAAATCTTGATTGCCTGTTCTCAAGCAGAAAATCTCCATTTAATCTGTAAATCAAAGAGAAAAACATCTAAAACTGCAGTTATTTGATTGAGGTAATGTAAAGCGCTTGTGCCGCAAGTACCACGAAGCGAGAAGAGTCAAAATACGGATAATCGCAGCCAGATGTCGAGTGAAAACGAGCGAAGTAATTCAAAGAATTTTGATTTGTC